TTTTGTATGGGGTCATGCAATTTTACATGTTACGACATTAATTCGTATCAGACTAAGTGCTTATAATAAGTACTCCCCTTTACAATTGGCATTTGGTCAAGAACCAAATATCTCTCATCTAAGAATTTTTAGTTATGCGATATATGTACCAATTACTCCACCACAACGTACAAAGATGGGTCCTCAAAGAAGACTGAAAATATATGTTGGGTATGAATCCCCTTCTATCATTAGGTATTTTAAGCATCAAACTGGTGATGTTTTTACGGCACGTTTTGCCAATTGTCATTTTAATGAGATAGTCTTCCCAGTATTAAGGGGAGAAAATAAACAGCTGGAAAAAGAAATTACATGGTGTGAACCATCATTGTTGCATCTTGATCCTTACATAAAGTAATGTGAACAAGAAGTGCAAAAGATTATGCACTTACAAAACTTAAGAAAATCAATTACCAGATGCATTCACTGAAACAAAAAAAGTGACTAAATCATATGTACCAGTTGCAAATGCTCTCGTTCAGAGTGAAATTTCAAAAGGACAATATGAGAATGAAGTCATTAATATGTCTAAAACATGCCTAAAGCGTGGTAGACTTATTGGTTCCAAAGACAAAATTCCTTAAAAAAGAAAGGGAGCAAATGAGCAAAATGACCTCGATTTGGAGGAAAGTATTCCAAGAGAAACACAAAATAATACAAACAAAGAGATTCTCGATAACGTAAAAAATTCTGAATGTTTTGAGAATAGTGACATCTCTATTGATTATATCAATACATGAGGATTATGGAATCGAAATGCAATTGAAAATATTGATGAAAATATTTTCTTACTCTGTGGCATGTGAAATTATTAACGGAACTGAGGATCCTGAACCAAGATTTGTTTTTGAATGCCAAAGTAGGCACGATTAGATCAAATGGAAATATGCTATAGATGCTGAGTTAAATTCGCTTAATAAGCTTAAAGTTTTTAGACCTGTTATCTTAACGCCTGAAGCCGTGAGACTGAGAGATATAAATGGGTTTTTATGCGAAAACATAATAAGAAAATGTATTATCGACTTGTTGCACAAGGTTTTTCACAAAGACCCGGGATTGATTATGAGGAAACATATTCTCCTGTAATGGACGCAATTACGTTCAGATATTTAATCAGTCTAACAGTTACTGAAAATTTAGAGATGCGTCTTATAGATGTTATTAAAGCTTATTTGTACAGATCGCTTGATAATGATATTTGTATGAAAATTCCTGATGGATTTAAGCTGCTTGAAGTACTAAATTCAAAAAACTTAAAGATATATGTTCGATTAAGTTACAAAGATCATTATATGGATTGAAGCAATCCATATGCATGTGGTATAATCGCTTAAGTGAATATTTATCAAAAGAAGGATATGTGAATAATCCCATGTGCCCATATGTTTTTATTAAGAGAACAACATATGGTTTTATTATAATCGTTGTCTATGTCGATGATTTGAACATCATTAGAACTCATAAAGAAATTCAATAAGTTGTGATATACTTAAAAGATGAATTTGAAATGAAAGACCTTGAAAAAATGAAATATTGTCTTAGTTTACAGATGGAGCACCTTTAAAGTGGAATGCTTATGCATCAATCAAACTATACTAAAAGGGTCTTAAAACGCTTTAATGTGGATAAATCAAACCCTTTAAGCACTCAAATGATTGTTAGATCACTTAATGTCGAAAAAAATCCATTTCGCTCTTGCGAAGGTAATAAAGAAGTCCTCGATCCTAAAGTACCATATTTAAGTGCAATACGAGCTCTTATGTATCTTGTTAATTGAACCCGACTAGATATAACTTTTGCTACTAATCTATTAGCAAGATTTAGCTCATCTCCTACACGAAGACATTGGAACGAAATTAAGTATATATTCGGTTATCTTCAAGGAACATTTAATTTGGGATTATTTCATCGTAAAGGATCAAAACAAGGGATGATTGGTTTTGCAGATGCAGGATATTTACCAAATACACATAAAGTCAGGTCTCAAACTGGATACGTGATCAGATGTGGAGGTACTGCTGTTTCATGGCGTTCACAAAAAGCAAACACTTGTTGCCACTTCTTCTAATCATGCTAAAGTTATTGCACTCCATGAAGTAAGTCGAGAATGTGTATGGCTGAGGTCTATGATTCAACATATCTAAGAAACTTGCGGACTATCTATCAGTAAGGATCCAACAGTATTATTTGAAGACAAAGTAACATATGTCGCTCAAATAAAGAAAGGCTACATCAAAAGTGACAGAACGAAACACATACCCTGAAGTTCTTCTCATACTCCTAAGAACTAAAAAAGAATAAGGATATTAATATTCAATACATTCGATCAAGTGACAATACAACAAATCTTTTCACAAATGCACTTCCCACTACATTTTAATCCTATTAGGTTTTTCCTAGCAAGGTACTGCTGTTTCATGGCGTTCACAAAAAGTAAACACTTGTTGCCACTTCTTCTAATCATGCTAAAGTTATTGCACTCCATGAAGTAAGTCGAGAATGTGTATGGCTGAGGTCTATGACTCAACATATCTAAGAAACTTGCGGACTATCTATCAGTAAGGATCCAACAGTATTATTTGAAGACAAAGCAACATATGTCGCTCAAATAAAGAAAGGCTACATCAAAAGTGACAGAACGAAACACATACCCTGAAGTTCTTCTCATACTCCTAAGAACTAAAAAAGAATAAGGATATTAATATTCAATACATTCGATCAAGTGACAATACAACAAATCTTTTCACAAATGCACTTCCCACTACATTTTAATCCTATTAGGTTTTTCCTAGCAAGGTATTTAATGAGACATCATGAATGGTGGACATCTAAGAGAGAGTGTTATAAATAGTAGTTGTCCATCTTAGTCAAAGTTACTATACAATTCAGTCAAAATTATTGTTTATGTTAGAATCATACTGTACAAATAGTAAGTACTATGCAAATAATAATCGTGAATGGTGCTAAAAATTTTCTTATAAATAGAACTTTAAGGCCTTTTATTTTATATACTTTTATATAAGCTTAATGAAATTCTCTCTCTAAAGCTTTTAATGTGGTGAAAATCAACCTGAAAAAAAAAAAAAAAAGATGATAATTAAAAGAATAAAAATAAAATGTGAAGTCGCGCCAGATAGGGGTCGAACCTATGACCTTCTGCTTAGGAAACAGACGCTCTATCCACTGAGCTACAGGCGCTTTGCGTTATTTATGGTATCTTAAATATTTATTTAAAAGAAGCTATCACGTTTCCCGTAAAGTATTTGAGTTATTGATTCTTCTTAGCATTTTTCTCTAAAAAAAAAATACAAATTTTAAACATTATAATCAAGAATTATTATTTAAGTATATATTCCAAACGTGGCCTTACAATTCTAATTCACATGATTGGTAATTGGTAATGCAATTAGCTATTCTCTAAAATTCTAATCTAAGCATATATGAGACGAAAATATTTATCATGTCGTCTATTTTGTAATAGTAGACAAATAATAAAACAAACGACACCCTACGCTAGTCCTACGGTTTATAATCTGTATGAATCCACATTTCATTTCTTTATCCGATTCAAATAAAAAAGGGGCACGAGTTCTTGATTTTGATGAATACACGTAAACTCTCATGACCAAAGAAAAATTCTTATCTTTCTTCTTCATTTGGTGGATGTTCGATTCACGATTTTACATCAAAACCTTTTTCGCTCTAAGAAAGTGTTGTTAGATCTTATCCTTAAAAAGAATTTGCATGTAAAACCCACGTGAATGAAATCAAATACATAGAACACCATGCTTAATCAGAAAAGAACCAAGTATTGCACAACACAAATCTAGATAATCTTGGTGCATACACACAATTTTTCCAGAAAAAAAAAGGAATTTAAAAACAATTGAAAAGGAATAAGATATTCGGTTGGAAACTAGGGAGAAAAAAACACAAGTTGTTATAGCGTATGAAAAAAAAAAATTATTAATAAGATATAATTTTAAACCGTTATATCATATCAAAATTATATTAAATAAAACAATATAATAATTAATAAACTTGATAAACACTTACAATTTAAAATTGTACATTCGACCAAGGTCCCGGGTTTGAGTCACCATGAGGGAGAGTGAAACCCTTTGATCCTCTAAATGAAAAAAAGAAAAAAAAAAAACTCAATATACTGGGCCGTTAAAATTTGATCTGAATGGTTAAAAAAACTTACCCGAGCAAGACAAAATCACGTGGCCTCCGGTAAAAAGCGCCCGTTTTTTTTTAACTCCTTTTGTTTAGAAAGACAGAAAATTCCTACACAACAACAGAAAAAGTTTCTAAAAGTAAAAGGAACTTTCTTCCATTGGTCATAATGGGACACTCCAAGAGTCCAAAAGAACAAGTGGCCAACTTTCACATTGGCTTTTACATTTTGCTCTTATAGTTTTCAGTCTTTTATTTTTTTTGAGTCTTTTGAACTAATCCGCAGTCACCACAGAAAGAAATATGAAATTGTTCTGATTCATATCTTGGATTCTCACTTCACTAGTCACTACTCATCTTTTTTTCCAATCTATACATACATATAACACATTTACCTTTTTCTCTTTCTTCTCCTCAAAGAAACAAAGAAAGTACTAAGCATTTTTCCCGCTCTCTCTCTATCTATCTCCTGAGCTCAACTTGTTCTTGTTTTTTTCCCTTTAATTTCCAACCTTTCTTTAGCTTTTGGAGGCTTATAGAGTTGCCACTGTTGTATAAAAGTCTTACTTTAATCAGCATCTTTTCTTCATAAAAATCTCCCATTTCACTGCTTCAAAATTAAGAGGGAAAAAAGAAAAAGAAAAATCCAACTTTTGGTCTTTGATATTCTTCCTTCCTAGTTCCTACCTTGTAATTGTTACCTGTTCAACGGAATCCGATTTCTCGGTTCCTTTGCACGATTCTCTCCGATTCCGAAAAGTGGTTTCTTTTTCAGATTCTTTTAGTTTATGCTATTAAGCAAAGGAGATTCTTGATTCCCATTAAAAGATTCTGAATTCAAATGCTTTTATAAGTCCTTCTAAAGCCCCCAATCAACTCATTTCTCTCTGTTTTACTCTTTACTCTTTAGTACTCTCTCTCTCTCTCTGCCTTGGATATGAGTTTCTAAGCTTAATTAACATGGAAACTTTACACCCCACTTGGTATTTACCCAATTCCAGTTGGCTTTTCCAAGGAATTAGCCAGAGCAGCACAGAATGGACTAAAGAGGAGAACAAGAAGTTTGAGAGTGCTCTTGCAATATACGACGAAACGACGCCGAACCGGTGGGCAAAAGTGGCGGAGATGATCCCAGGGAAGTCGGTTTATGATGTGATCAAGCAGTACAAGGAGCTTGAAGAAGATGTCTGTGACATAGAAGCTGGGAGGGTTCCGATTCCGGGGTATTTTTCACCTTCTGATTTTACTACCATTGACTTGGTTGATGATCGTGATGATTCCTTTAGAAAAAAACCTCAATCCGCTAGAGCTTCTTCTGATCATGAAAGAAAGAAGGGTGTTCCATGGACCAAAGATGAGCACAGGTAAATGAATTCCCTTTTAAATTTATAGCTAAACACACAAACTTATGTATAAATATATGTGAATGTTGAATATGTTTTATGGAGTAGTTTGTCATGGAATTGTGTTTATCAAGTTTATAGCCTGATTATGTTCTAATTGTGTTGCCGGTTAATGGGTAATTTGTTATGGAATTGTGTAAGTCTCTGAGATTATAATTCTATCCTAATTTTTTGGTAAAATTTTGATCTTTTGTTTTTCTTTGTTCTTGTTTTTGTTGCTCAAGTAATCACACAAATTTACATCTACATATTCATGTTTAAATTTGAAGATAGATGATGAGTATAAAACTGCCACCAGATTAAGCTTGCAAATATGCATTTTTTAATGCAAGTATTGAACATTTACTATGAAGTAGTTTGTTATGCAATTGGCCTCTTTAAAACTTTGTTTGTAAGAGGAAAAGAGAATACGAAGGAAAGAAAAAGAAAAGGTATATAACCGAGATGAGAAAAATAGAGGAGAGAACCTTTCTCTTATCGTATTTGGTATCAATTCTCTTCTCTAATCAATGTGAGAGATTAAAATTGACTATCCCTCACTCAATCCATTTCTCTCTCTTTTCATTCCTAACAAAGAACAAGAGGCCTCAAAATCCTTCAAGTACTAATCCGCTCAAACCTCGTCATCTTTTCACTTTTCCTCGTACCAAACAAACTCGAAGTCTCAAGCTTCTTAGTCACATCCTAACTGTCTTGCCAGCAATGTGAATTTTTTTCCTCATTATTTATGCTCTCATTGATTTAGAAAATGAACATAGTTGTATAGAATTTTGTTATGGGACTTTGTTCCTTAAGTTTTGAGATTTTTATGTGGAATGTCTCACTGGTAATGGCTTACACAGGCAGTTCCTGTTAGGGCTGTTGAAGTATGGTAAAGGGGATTGGAGAAATATCTCTCGAAATTTCGTCGTCACCAAGACCCCAACACAAGTAGCGAGTCATGCTCAGAAATACTTTCTAAGGCAGCATTCTGGAGGGAAAGACAAAAGGAGGCCAAGCATACACGACTTCACAACAGTCAATCTCAGAGAAAGTAATACTAGCCCATCAGAGAATATCATTAATCTTCCTAATTTCTTTGACCATTCTTCTGTTGTTCATAGTGAAGAGGCACACAAAGGATTACTTGATTGGAACATTCCTAGTGAAGAAGCGCTCATGGTTTTGGGCTCAACTTGTGGCAATCTCTTCATGAATTCCCCATATGACATTTCTTCTCCCAAACTGCCTCTGAGGCAAAATCTCTATGGTGGTGGTGCTCGGTTTGCTGCTCATACAAAACCGCAATCTTCCATGTTTGAAATGCAAACCTCTAGATATTAAGCAGCCACTTTTTTTCTTTTCCTTCATGTTTGTGGATGGAATGCATTAGAAAATGTTCATTTAATTTCAGTTGTCATGAATCATCAGCACTCTTGTCATGGTTCTACATGAAGAAGTTTCATAGTTAGTGTTGAACATTATAGGCAGATGAAATCTGGCAAATGTTCCCAAGTGTAATATCTGAACCATGAAATTGAATTCAGAAGTAGTACATTGAAAATCTCTACTTTTATTAGTTATTATTACATAGACTTGGATCTCATGCAGATTGGAATTATTACCGTTATTCTGATGTTGCAAAGTTAAATCTAATGTTTTATGCCTGGAATAATTACACTTCACGCAAAGTATATTTCTATGATTAACTGCACAAAATTAGACATGTCATTAAGGTGATGTGGCCAAAAAAGCTGACTCACAAGTCACTCTTTTCTTTTTTTTTTTAAAAAAAAAAAAAAGAAGTTTTCATCCTTTCTTTCTTTTTTTGTTTGTTTGGTTGTTTTTGTTTGTTTTTGTTTGTTTTGTTTTGTTTTGCCCCCTTGAATTGCACTTTATCTTATTGCCTACTTTTCTATTAAAATACATTCTGGCATTGTTTGCTTTGAGCACCCAATATGGCCAAGTTGACCGAGCTTCATCACCATCACTTAGTCGATGCTGAGTTTGCATTCCACTCAATAAGCATCCCCTTCTTCAACATGTTTTAGAATATAGGATCTTCCACGTAGCATAGCAACGTCGTTTAAAAAAAAAAAAAACTCCGTTTTTTAGATAATATTTTATCATTAGATCACATCAAAATTATGTCATATTTTTGTAAAAATATAATAAAGAATATGTTACCCATTCTATCATTTCGTAATATATCATATTAAAATATATAATGATTAACCATTTGAGGGTTAAAAAATCTTGATATAAGCTTATTTTTTCATCATTTACTTTTTAATTTTGCACACCCTCGCTACCCAATCCAACCTTGCCTTTTGTAAAATGGTGGCGAAGTGAACTGATTGTGGGCTTCTTTTTAACAGTCTCTTGAAGCATCATTCTTAGTTGTGAATCCAAACCCAAAAATAGAATATCATGGCTGTGAAAAATATTTGGCTTTGGACTTGAATTCAGATTCTAGCTTTGGAATTATTCAGAACTCAGTATTGACTGATCTTTGACCTTTGAAGTTTGAACGCTACAATGGTGTTTAACTATGATCTTACCCTTAGAATTTTCACCTTTTTTTTGGTATCAAATTTTAAATATGAAATATCTCCCACGTCAATGATTTGACACAATTCGGCATTCGGTGCCATAAATAAAGAGAAGGAAACGACATCGCCTTAAAAGTTTTCTCCATGCAAAACCGACAATAATATTCCTTAGCAATCCGTGGTAATTTGTCTAACAGATTAGGGAAAAGTAAACAAGAAATTAAGTGTTGGAATACATTAAAAAAAACAACTGTGACAACATAAAAAAACAACTGTGACAAGAAAAGGAAAGGTAAAAGTTGATATGATAGGATGTATAGTGGAAAATCTTTTATGAAAATCACTATTTCAGTTAAATATTATGTTATATCACTATTTCAGTTAAACATAAGACAACTTATGTTATCAATTACATCAAAGAAAACGAAAAGGATTTTATGTTTGGTTAAATTGTCTACTATATGGTTACATGACTATGGGGCCTCATTGAATGGGGTTTGACAATGATCACTATCTCAAAGGTAGGAAGGTGTTCAACAAATGACAAACAAATATTATTCTTTTTTTATTCTTTTTGAGAAAAAGAAATAATTTATGTTTCTTATAATATGCAATTCCTGTTTTCGTTCTCTTTAGGTTGCCTTTGTGGGTTCTATCGCCACAAATGTTCCTGCTACTACAACTATTGTGCAAGTGTAAAGCTTTAGTGCATTCTTGTCACTTTGCACGTATCATTTTCTAAACCACGCAATTAGGCATTAAAAAGTTTCAAAGCAAACATACGCGAGCATTATGATTATCCTTTTTTAACTTTTTTATTGGTATATGACATAACCTTCCAACTTTATGTTATCATTTGAAAAAAAAAATGGTCTTTCAAGGTGAGTCATCTTTATGCAAGTTGCACAAAAAGCACTCTTAACCACTTTGTTCTAAATTTGATCAAAGCTTTTGTGAAGGTTTTGGCCATCTTTTCAGTTTCATTACACCAACTAAAGAGTTAAAAAAAAAAAAAAATCATAAAAGCATTTGGATTATTAGCTCTCTCATTGTCCTTTATTAATAAAAGAGAAAAGCACATGATTTGCTTTTGTTATGATTTTATTTAAGTCTATTATTTATATCATTTTAAATAATTAAGTGTTATCGTGATTTTTTATTTCTCTTTATTAATTTACTGACATTTGTTTATTTTTATTAAATTTGTTTATTTTTTTTAGCGTTTTTTTCTCCTTGTAAAAACACTGCAGAGGCCATGTTCATCCACAAAATCATATAGAAGGATGGTTCTAGATTCCCCAGTGGTTCTCAATTAGGCCCACATAATCTTTTGGACAACTTCAATTAGGAAAGCCTTTACTTATCAGTTATCACATTCACATCTAAATATCAAGTACCAAGCTAATGAAAATAAAATAATACAACTGGGTGACAAGTATATCATATTTATATTGCAATTTGTGTAGTTTTCTTGTTGATATGAAAGTATAAATTAAGGACATGTTTGGTGTACCGTACTGTATTTTATTGTATTGTATTATATTGTATAATTTTTATATAATACAGTGTTTGGTTGGTAGTATTATTAAATATTATACTATTTTTACCATTGTAATCTATTTATGTATTAATTTGTAATAATATAAAATTTAGACCTAATCATAACCTAATTCGACTCTAATCTCAACCTGAACCCAACATTTGGAGAAAGTAAGTGAGAAAGTAGAGTTGCTACATAGGGGTCTTTTTTGAAAAAAAAATTGAAAATGGGTCAAATTTTAATTTTAAAAAAATAAGGGGTAAAAACATAATTTTAAAAACACTGAAGATCAAAATATAATTTTAAAAAATTGAGAGTCAAAACATAATTTTTTAAAAGCTTAGGGGTCAAAATATAATTTTTAAAAAGTTTAGGGATTAAAATATAATTTTAAAATAGTTTAGAGGTCAAAATATAATTTTTAAAAATATAAACCCAACATCACTTCAGTCCTGAAACTCGACCCCAACATCGGTCCCAAAACCCAACCCCGAGCCTTGATATTTGTGAAATATTTTATATGTTTTTAATTTGGTGTTTTAAGTTCAATTGCATAATGCAGTCTAGTACACAAGTTTTTTTTGTATTAGATATCAGCTTTCGTATTTTATAATTTTGAATCTCATATTAAATTATACACTGTATAAATATCACAAAATATTATATTATTATTAAATAATACAATACAAAGTGTTTATACGGTATACCAAACATGTCCTAAAAGGTGTTATTATCAAGTTGCCAAAAAAGTCAAAACAAATTAATACCGAAGGCATGCTAACAATTGGGAATTTGATGCTTCAAGTGCACCACACTGTTATGGGCTTTGGATAAATGGGACCCAGAAGCAAAATTCAAAAACCATTAATTATTAAGCAGATGATAATTGTTGGGAAGAACTCTGCAGAATGAAAATGGCCTTCATAGCCTGTTATTGGACCAAAGAAAAATTATGGAGATTGGAGAATAAAAAACAATAGAAGAGAGGTAGGTCATTTAAGAAGTTCTTATTCCAGTACTAATTGGAATTGACTTTGCCTTCTTTGGGGCCACGATCCACTAATGCCATCCTTTGTATGGGAAAAAAGAAATCTAGTGAGCACATATTGGAGTTGACATTCTTCCAATAATTCTTATATTTTTTTTAATAAAATAATTCTTATATTCGGTACAATTGTCACAAATATATATATATCTATATATATATATATATATATTTATATATGCTTAACTTCTCCAACATCCACTCACCTGGGAAGACCAGACAAAAAAGGAATACTAGAATGCATGTTTTTCCCCCCTTTTCTTTTTATCCTTCCTCTTTAGTTCTGCATTTTCTTTTGACAGAACCTAAATAATAAGAGGAACTCATTTTATGTGTGTATTACACTAATATTAAGGGAGGACTTGGCCAAGATCAAGTTGATACTTTTAAGTACTGTATAAATTATGGCAAGAGCTGAAATCCTAGAATTATAAGCAACGAAAAAGGGGTTCTTTAGAATATAAATGATGAAGTTCAACTGCAGCAAATAAGCATTTATAAGAGACATAAATAAAAGTGAATATAATTACTAAGCATAAACAATTTATCTAAAATAGATTGACCATTTGATATAAACATTAGCAAAAAAATAACTCAACAAAGTTAAAGATGAAGGCCATTGGAATAAAAGCAGTAACGATCCAGTGAAACCGTTTTAATTAGTGCGCTGCAGAATTAGTGGCTTTACCGGTTAGGACTTGAGAGAGATGTGAAATCCCAAAATGTGATACAATAGTCAAAGAGACGGCTGAAGGATCAGGGTTTAATGATTTTATGATTATTTTCACTGGTGCCCTTGAATTTTAGAGTCAATTTGTCCCCTAAATTTTAGAATCAGTTTGTCCCCTAAACTTTAAATTATTCTCACTTAACTCTTTTTGTTGTAATTTTTGTTAAAGTCAGACAGAAAAAGAGTGGGTTAAGTGTAGTCATACAATTTTTATCTGTTTCTTTTTAATAAAAAATAAAATAGAAAGACCATGTGCCTGCGTTGTTCTCTTTTTTTTTTTTTTTTTCTATATGTTTTAACAAATTTTGCTACTAAAGAGATTAAGTGAAAACAATTCAAAGTTTAGATAGTAAAATGAGAATTTTTAAAATTCAGAAAGTAAACTAAAAATGATTCTAATACTCTCTAAAAATGATTCTAAAGTTTAAAGAGCATAATAATCCATGATTTCAAGATATAATGCCCATAAAAGACCGCAGGTATGGCTAATAAAATATTGTGAAATGACAGAAAGATTTGGGCCTTGTTCATTTCACCGATTCGAGTTTTCAGTTTTAAGTTTTTACAGTAAAAAACTCTCAAAAAATGTCACATCTAACTTTTTCTGCTACAGTAAAAAGCTCTAAAAAAATATCACATCTCAGTTCGAATTGAAAACTTGAATCCGTGAACGAGACCTTGAACTTACTTTGATCAAAGACTTGTTTAAATTTTCATTCACACAAAGTTCAGATATCACATTTATGAGCTTTTCGCTTATAATCCATATGAATAAATGAATTTCAACAACATGCTGCTTCTGGGTCGAATGAATTCACATAGCCCATTAATTTGATGGTTGGGAAGTCAAGTTTAAAACGTGAATTGTGAGCTTAGAATGGATAAAAATTAAAGAGAAAAAAAAAAGAGTTAATAATTTCTTGAAAAAGATGCGAGTCACCAAAAAAAAAAAAAAAATACAAGTCACCACGTTAAACAAGAAGGAACAAAGTCACCACAGGGAAGGGTATTTAGGTTAAACTGCTCAAAGCAAAGGAATGAAGAACGTATTTTCATCAAATAGTACAAATGCTTTCAGATTACACGAGAAGAACACAAACTTATTACAGGACTAAAGTCTAGAATTAAAAAGAGAGAAAATGAAATCTGAAATTCAAACCATCTTACCAAAAAGGAGAGGGAGAACAAATTACATTAATTTATGAACAAGGACGTGGGCGCAAGAAAACGACTTCTTTGAGGGAGGGAAAAGGAAAGAAATGAAAAAGTTGTATGTACAGCTTTACTCGTGTAAGGCTTCTGGGTCCAAGGGAGTAACAGTGCCTGGAAAATCTGTTCTTTGTCCTGCGAGGGAGTAGTACGCAAGTATGTGAGCCGGGTGCTCCACCATCACAGCTTCCCCAATCTGAGAAGGATCGACAACACGTCTTGAAGGGATCAACTCGATGTTCCAAAATGGGCGCACCATCGCTAAAAGATCGCGACCAGGTGCAGCTGCTGATGCTCTATAGCCCTGCACCCACAAATACCTCAGGGAAGTCAGCTGCATCACTGCAGCAGCAAGCGCCTGCTCACTGAAGCAGCAGCCCCTCATCTCGAGTTTTTGCAGGCTAGGACATCCCCTAGAGAACTCCAAAAGCCCTGCATCAGACTCCCCCACATAACCCAGAAGCATCCACCTCACATGCTGACTGTGCTGGCCAATGTAACCAAGACCCACATCGGTCAAGCCCCCGGGTCGAAGATACAGAGCGAATCTTCTTAGCTTTTCACAACCCCTCAAAAGAGCTCGAACTCCATTGTCAAGCGGTAAGTCCGTTATCCGATCTTCTCTGTCAAGAAGGACTAAACGAAAGTCACAAAGATTCTTAGAGTAAGTACCCATGCATTCTAGTGATGAGTTTGTAATGTCGGATACATAAATGGCCAAGTATTCAAGTTCAAGACAGCCCTGAGCCAAAGCAATCAAACCCCTTTGTGAAACAAGGCCTCCTTCATCCTCCATGCCTTGCTCATCGTCACCTCGCTCAATTCTGAGCCTCTTTAGTCTCTTGCAACACCGAGAGAGAACTTCCATTCCTCTATCTCCAATGACATTCCTCGTCTGTTTTATCACAAAGGTACACAATAATGTATATTTCAAAACAGTTATAGCCAAGAGAAAAGCGCTCGAGACAACTCCCTAGGTTGTACCAATTGTCTACATGAGCACTATAGCAACTTGTATCCAGTAATCTAAATTACCTCGAGGAATTAGCATTACTAGAGACTGAACTTCAATAAAAAGTAAAATCATTCAATTATTATTATTATTATTTTGATAGATGTGCTAAATAATGGGAGAATAAAAGATAAATGAAATCTTAGATGTAAGAAATACCCAATCTTGCAATGACATTGTATATTAAGAATACACACATATCTCCGTTTGAGTCCCCTGTGCATCTACTTATGTACGTATATGTACATATAAAAAAGCATAATGCAAAAGACCTGGAAGCACGAGAAAGGGCATTGTGATTTTACCTCAAGAACTTCCAGGTTCGGACACCTTTGAATTAACGTACAATGGTCCTCCGTATCGAGCAAGGCATAGAGAAGGTCCAACTTTTTAAGTAGGGAAGCAAATGGGAATACTATTGGCATTTCATTCTTCCCCATGTAAGTTGGACCCAAACGGCACAATTTTTGGGGTAAAGATACAGCAGAATACTTCTCCGGCTGCTCATTGAAGGAACCCCCACAAAATTCTTCTAATACGACTGCAGCCCGAAAGAAATCTACTAGGTCCAAGATTTCACAATCACTAATCTTCACAGAATTCAAGGAGCGACAATTTCTGGCTATGAGTTCGAGGTCCTCAAATTTGACTTCGGTAAGATACGTCATATAAAAATTTAGAGTCTCGAGAACTGTGTTGTTCATAGCAAGCTCATGTAGCCATTTACCATCTTTCTCAATTATTGAACTCTCCTCCAGAAACAAGGTTTTTAAATTCCTGGAGAATATAAAACAATTAAACAAACTCCCATCGAAAATATCAAGGTCCCAGAACCAAATGTTTGGTTTATTATGACTGGAAGTCACTGCAACACATCTTCAAAATCATCTTAGAACAACATAGAGACACTAAATATACTGAAAACACAAAACTGGACAGATAACCTACAATATCAACGTGACCAAATTAAAGCCACTACATTAAGAATGTCTCAACATATAGTTATCAAGCAAGAAAACAAACATATTCTGCCACTATGTTTGGCAACATTGCTCGTACAAATGGAAGACAAGTATTGATACGAATACAAATGCAACAACAGAGGTCAGATCATGAATAGGATATGAATATAAAAATTGATGAAACTATGTGTGCATTAGCTACTAGCTACATCTTGAGATGCAGTTTACTCAAACGCACAACAACTAAGAGAAACTCCAACTATGCTAGCCATTTCATGTTTTTAGCCAATGATTTAGTTTTTTTTTTTTTTTTCCTTCTCTCCACTCCATTAGCTAAATGGTTAGCTATTTTAGAGAATGCCTTCCACACTAGCTAAATATAACTAGCATAGAGAGACTAGCCATTTCATTTTTTGTATTATATTATACTTTCAACTGTAATAAATGTAAAGATTCTTTTGTAAATTCAAAGACTTTATTTACATTTTAAATTCAATAAATATTAAAATAATCTATATTTAGCAAAAATAGAGAGCGGTTGGAGTGGCTCACAAAAAAGATCCTAGCTAAAATAACTTTCTAGCCATTTTAACTAGAATTTAGCTAAAACTTAGAAAGTTCCCTTGGAGATGCTCTAAAAGAGGCAAAATGGACATGAAATAACCTAAAGCATCTTACAAGAAAGTTTTTTTTTTTCTTCTCTCCCTAACATAGCTAGCAGTGAAGCTAAACCTAATAATTGGCACAAAAACTTTGATTTGCAACAGCATCATCTTAGTAATCAATAACCACAAGAAATATAAAGAAATGAAGAGAAGGGGAAGTTAAATCCTACATGTAAGACCATCACCAACGTAAATGACAATATCAACGCTATATTTAGTACAAAAATGTGTAAGAAATGGTACAATTGACATATTATTGTATCTTGTACTGCAATATATAATGTTATTCTAAGCACTATATCTTGATTTCCTCGTAAAGTTTTTAGTTTGGAATTGTAAAAGGCAAATTTTAAATTTTCAAAAATTATAAATGACAATGTTTTAATGACTGTGAAAAATTTAACACAGTAACCAATAAGCAAACAAATGCCAAATTTGACATTAAATATGGCATGGCATTTGGTCTTACAAAAGCTAAATTTTAGCATTGGCATAAGAATTTGGAATTCCATTGGAGATGCTCAAAGCCTTTTGTTTTCTTTTTTTGCTTATTTTCAAAGAGGCTAAGTTGGGAAAATGATTTTGTGTCCTCTGTCTCTCTGCTATTCCTATTAATTTTTATTTAAGGGTCCCTTTCAGCGACTGTCTTCTAAGCAAATTGCTATTAGAAATCATCTATAAAAATCTCAAGCTAATAAACTGTTCTTATGCTATACTGATAAGAATATTTATGCCTTTTTCCCCCTTCAAAGTAACCAGTTTTCTATCATAATTGCTGACTGCAAGTTCTCGACCATTACACCTCACTCTTAAACTGAACTCCAGATCAATATTCAGACCTTACTCAACTTATATGAAGTTAAGCACGACCTAGCATTTGGAATGTAAAACAATTGCTTACCCGGGTTCACTATCAATAAATAAATAAAATAAAAAAAGCAAGGATAAAAAGTTCACACTCTTCATTCGAGAACCATTCAACAAAAGCAATTCATTTTAATCCAGAAAACTACGTCAATTTGTAATCTGCATTCAATTTCCGAAGTATATCTAACTAACATCCACTTGAAGTTTGAACATTCCATAATGCTCCCTACACACAGAATCTAAAATCGCTGAAAAGCTATCTTAAAACTAAATCGTAGATATTTATGTTCCATATAACATACAAATATTATCTTGCTCAACCAAACAAAAACTAAGCCATCAACGTCAATTTTCCACAACATCAACAAAAGCTCCACTTTAAATCATCTCTCTGCATTCCTTGCGTCTTCACACATAGTTACAGATTGAGCATTTAAACACCGTGTAGTCACTTTAAATTAGCAGATCCCATCTATTATTTGCATGGTATAAAATATGGCAACCGAAACTCAGTCTAGTCTAATCCACCAACAGATAAAATAATGGCTTTAACTGTCAAGTTTAAATATGAAAAGCACAAAACTACTCGACTTTCCGCAACCTGACTCTGCCAAAACCAATATAAACACAAAATATAATGCCAAGGTCGAATATATTTTAAGACTCTAGATGCACCAATCAATCAATTAGATATTGCATATTAAATGCCATATTTATAATGTAATAATATTTTAATACGCAGAAAAGTCTAGAAAACAAGGAAATGGTTTACCTGGTCAAAGTTTAATATATCTGGGCCCAGCAAGCTATCTACTAAGTATCAAATAAAGAGTAAATTTCTTTCAAAACCAAGTCCTTTCCATACCAAAATGAGAACTGGGACATTCTCATCCATTCTTTAGCTCAAGACAACAAGTTCACAGAACTCATATGACAAACATTGGCTAATTATTGAACCATGGTAAATAAGCTTGCGTCATAATATCAAAAGAACAGATAAAGAAAGCCTAATATATTAACCATGCATAACTAACCCCTAAACAAACGCACCATATTCCATGAAAAACATCGAATAATGAGACCAAAAAAGAAAACACCCTATACGCTTAAATACTAGAAATCAATTCAACACCAAGATAACACCGCTTCAGAATGCATCGATCAGATTTGGAAAACAACAAAGAAGCACGCTCAGCCGTATTACAAAATCCGACCGAGAAAATTAACAAGGGAAATCTTACATAAATGGGAAGCGGAAAATACTATCAATCAGTTATTTCTAATCTTACCCAGACAATTTCAAGGGGCAAAAAATAAAATTAAAAAGGAAAGAAAAAAATAAAGAAAGAAACTTTTTAATAGATGAATTCAACTAGAGTCCATTCGAAACATGCTACTTCCTATTTTCTTACCAGAATTCTGAAATGAATTCCAATACAGCACAAAATAAGAAAATTTAACAAAGAAAGCCAAGTTCTAGAGGCCTAATACCTGCAGAAGTGGCCGATAAAGAAAAGACCATCAGTGGAGAACCCCGAACACTTATCGATCTTGAGCGCCTGAAGCACGCGGCCGCGAGTGGAAGCCAGGAGCTCGAGGTCCGAATCCCTGACGATCATGCGCCGAAAGTGAAGCGACCTCAAGCAATTGAAGGACTCGGCAATCGCCCTCACCCAGGGCGTGACGTAGCCGCCCCAATCCTCCGGTATCAGATTGAACATCGCAGCCCTAGGCTTTCCTTTGAGTTTCAGCGACTCCAGGTGGCCGAACCCCCCGAAGCCGATCAGGAGTCGGCGTGTAGCAGAGCGCGATCGTGACGTGCTTGCGCGTGAGAGCGTCTAGGTCGTACCACCGCTTGCAGACGAGCGAAACCGCGTCCCGGTCCTTCGGGTCGTCGATGTAAGGTATTACGCAGCCGAGCACCACATCGGACATTCCAACGTTCATCCTGCTCTCCCTTCGATCCTCCATAGCTCAAAATCCAAACCGTAAAAGGAAATAGACCAAAAAAAAAAAAAAAACGCACTCTATCTCTCTCCTCACTCTCTCTCTCCTCTCAATTACAAAGCTGAACTTCAAGTACACAAATTCGAAGACTTGAAGCTCTTCAACTCAACTCAACAACTTCGAATCTCCGGAACGAAACGAAACGAAACAAAACACGAATCGAAACCAAAACCGAAACCAGAAACGTTTTTTTTAATCCTCCGATTCAGAGCGAATCTCAGAAGAAACGCCGAAACCTCTAGCGAATCAAAACGAAGACGGCAAGGAAGGAATCGCGGCCAGCTCTCTCTCCGCGACCTGCGATTAGCGCCGCGGGAATCCACAGTAGTTAACGAGAAACGGCAGCCAATCGAATCGACGACGGATCGAGACTACGACCAATCGAGGACCGTCGGAGCATGGAGGCGCGGTGGACGCGAAGCACATGATAGTGTATCGGACAGATCGGACGGCGTGATGGTGTCGGAGAAAAGGAATCCGACGGCGACGTTGCAGTACAATTTTTTTTTCTTTGTGTGTGTCTGTGTGAGATGCAAAAGAAGCGGATTGGATCAGATCCTAATCAGGAGGTCTATATTCTATAATGCGCACCTCAAAAAAAAAAAAGAAAAAGAAAAAAGAAGAAAAGAAAAAGTTCGTTTAAAATGGAATGGTAGAGAAAGAGAAGCAGGGGGACTACTGGAGGGGGCGGAGAGGTGTAGTAGGAGAAAACAAATAAAAAGGCTAAGAAGAAAACGACAAAACTACTGAAATGTACTAAAACGTCAGCGTTTAGAAGGTCCGTGTGTTTTCGTTTGGTGACGTGGTCGAGCCTTATTGAATGTACAAAAGTCAAGATTATTTTGGTGAGTGCAGCAGATTTTTGTGTAATAGAGATGATGATGGTGATGGTGTTTATTATGTGAGCATTTCTGGTTTTGGTGGCGATCTGTTAACGGTTGATAGAAGTGGAAAGTTGGAGAGAAACGACACTTTTTCTTCTTTTTCCTCTTTTGGACGCATGGGATTGGAGCGATAGCTAGGGTTTTTCAAGCTTTTCTTCCAAATATGCCCTTTTGCTTTTTGTTTAATTCTTTGTTTTTTATTTAGAGCTCGTTTAGTTCGTTAATTCGAGTTTTTAATTTAAATTTAGATGTGATTTTATGTGAGAGTTTTTTATTGTAATAAAAAAAATTATGTGTGATTATTTATGAGAACTTTTTATTGTAATAAAATTAAAATTTTAAACTCAAATCGATAAAATGAACGAGTCATTATTTATTCCAAATCTTTTGTTCTCTAAATTACTCCACTTGCTAGTTGGTGGTTACTAGCTTAGACCTATAGTTTAATTGCTCCCACAAAGCAGTAGGGAATTACTTTATCACAAGAAGGGGCCTATAAAAATCTGGACTTCTGCTAATTTAGCTAGACAATTTTTTTATTTTATTTTAGTGCTCTTGGACAATTTACTATTTAGCATTTCTAAAAAACATGATAAAATTCGTTTTTTATATTATAAAATTTGTAATCTATAATTTTATACAAGCCTCAATAGGACAATCTAGTGATAAATTCACTATTCAAATTTTGCTTTTCAAAAGTGAATTACAGGAGAGTCTTGCGGTCCTGAGTTCAAACAATGAATGGCATAGCCCCTCTCAAAACATTTGAAATAATTAAAATTATTGTGTCAAAAACATGAATTAGAAAAAGAGAAGGATTTTTCAGGAACAAAAGAACAGCAGGGAAAATGTTTACTTAAAAAAAAAAACAGTTTGCTATAGTCTAAAATTCGATAAATAGGATTTAGGTCTTTCTAATTTTTGAAATTTTATATTGCTTAGTGCATTTTTAATATTTGTCAAAACTTAAGACAACCCTATCTTTTTTGCTTTTTCTTTTCTTTTGATAAAGCAAAAGTCTATTATTGAAAGAAAGTAAACGTATAATTACTAGACATTTTCAGTCACGACAACTAAAATGACAAGTTGTTTCTTAAAATTAAAAAAAAAAGAAAAAAAGAAAAAACAGTGGTCAGCATTAGTGCTGGAATTTTAGTTGGGCCGCCCGCGACCGCTCGAAAAAATCAAATTTGTGCCCGTTGCCCGAGCCCGCCTGCCCGAAAAATTTAAGCTGGCCGTCCGAACCCGAAATCTTCCTTAAACGGGCTTCGGGCAAGACTTAGCTGCCCATGTCCGGTAGGGCAGCCCGAGCCCGCCCGAAGAAGGCTAAATTTTTTATATATATTTTTCATATTTTGTTTTAATTTTTATAATATTGTGTGTATATATATATATAATATTATTTATTAATTGTATTTGTATATAAATAATTATTAAGTTATTTATTATAAAAATTATATAAAAACTATAATTAAGATTAAAATCAACCACACTATTAACACAATTTAAAAAATTAATTTTGTTTATTAATTGATTGCCTCATTAAAAACTATACCAAGAAAAACTCAATCGAGATAAAAACTTGATAAGGAAAAAAGAGTGCAATCATTTTGTGGCGAATTATAAATTTTGTAAAATTACAAAGTCAAAATATACATTATTACAATTACAATGTCCAAAGCAACTAAAGATTTACAAATTACAATTTAATTTGAAGCTGAAAAATCGTCTTTAAGGCAAAATGTTAATCTATTAAATTCATCTATCCATTCTTGGCTTGCCGGCGAAATTGTATCTTGTAAACGTTGATCGGCATGATCCAATCCTTAAGTATTCATCCCTTTGCAATGCGTTTCGGAGTTCCTCAAGTACTCGTCCAGTCGTACTGAAGGCCTGTTCGGATGAAACAATGGAGGCTGGAATCGAAGAAATATCCATTGCCAATCAAGTTAGGACTGGCTAAGTTAATGCTCGTGCCCTCCACCATTGAACTAAATCAAACACTTCTCTACTATTGTCGACTACTAAGCTCTCACTGAGGCGCCATAAGCTCATTGAAGCCGCCACCGCTGCCACCACCACCTCTTGATGAAGATCCATTCCCAACTTCTGTTTGAGTATTCTCCTTCTTTTTCAACCCAAAAACATTCATGAATGAATGCAGGTTTTCATCTTTTTGTTGCGGTTCCTGTACTCCACAAGCGGTGTTTCTAAACCTATTCTCATAAACACTATAGAGAGAAAATATTTTATCCTTTATTAAAGGATATTGATCAGAACAATCGATGTCTAAAAACCTAAGTTTTCTAATCCACTTTCTAAACCTTTTAATTTTAATCTAGGATAAAAAATAGTACCGAAACCATACAACATGAAAATACACCCTAAATACTGCTTTTGATTTATATAATATTAAATTATTTAAGCTTTAATTAAACAATTTCACTATTTTTATTCATAATATTTTTAATTAGAATTTGTCTAGTTTTTGCTTAATTATTTACAAATAAAAAGTAGTGTAAAAAGCTACACAAAAATAAGCCATGAAAGCCATGTTTTCAACCACCCGGAGCCAGCCTTTTAGCCGAGCCATACAAGCCAATCAGAGAGAGGGAGAGCCGCGCCGAGCTAGCTGAGGCTGCCAAGTTGCATCAGCTCCGTGGGTCCTACCGCCCAGCTTTCCCATGTTTCCACACTTTTCCTCGCGCGCGTCACCCGCACCGCCTGGCCATTAGAGCGCGTCCATTCCGTTCTCGCGTGGGTCCCACGGTGCTCAAGCCAGCCTGCGTTTCTCCTCTGCGCGCGACAGTTGTCTCCCTCACTGCCCAGCGCCAGCTCCTTCCACCCACTCCGCGCATGACACATGGCAGATCTGTTCCTTTCCTCCAGCCAACCTTTGACACGTGCCCCTTTTGTGCTGAATCCGAATTTCTTCCCCAAAAATCAGAGCAAATTATCAGATTTCTTCCCCAAATTAAATATATGATTTCTCCTAATTTATGTGTAATTTTATTTTGTTTCCTTTTCTTTTGTAATTTTCTATTTTTATTATTTATTTCCTTATTTGATAGGTAACCTCTAAACACTATAAATAGAGGGGTTAGCCTAAGGTTTTTGTAAGCTTTCAATATTCAGTTTTCTGTCGTCTTGCTGTTAGTCTCATATTTTCTCTCTAGAACTTGTGAGAATGTTTTGCAAGCTAGGCTAGAGTTCTCTTGGTGAGTTTAGAGATGAACTTTTGTGAGTGACCCAATTCGGATTTTTGATTCATTGTGCTGTAAACTTTAACATCCGAATGAATTAAATCTCATCTATTTTTCTTTTACTTTTCAAAATATTGTGTGTCAATTTTTATATAAGTTTAGTCACGCTATTCTTATGTAATTCTGTCATGCATTGTTTTATTATTCAAATTATCTTGTAAATTGTCTTTTACTGCAATATTGTCAAATTGATATATTATTGATTTTGGATAACTTGTAATAATAATATTTTCAGAGTCAACATAGAGATTTAATTTATTCGGTCCTTTTATTTTGTGAATCAAAACTTGAATTGGTGAACGAAGCATTAGTGATTCTCGACACCTTACAGTTTTTGTTATTAAATTTCTTCCACACAAATCTTCTCTACTTTTTATTTGCAACAAAAATCTCAAAAACTCTTCTTTTTCTTTAATTCACTTGTTATTTATTTTTCTTTAACGCTCTTATTCTGTTAATTTTTCTTGTTATTTTGTTACCTCTCAATGGATACGACCGCCCTTCTGTGCTACAATCGACCGCTTGTGAACATCACTTTTGGGCGTTAATCAAGAGACAAACTTGAGAGAAAGGAGAAGAGAAAGAGAGAGAAAGAGAGCTAGTGAGAGGCAAGAGAGAGCTCAAGGAGTCTGAGAGAGAGAGAGAAAGAGAGAGAAATGAGAGAGAATTAGAGAAAATAAGAGAAAGGAAAGAAAGAAAAAGAAAATATAAGAAAAAGAGGGAAGTAGGTATTTCCACCTACTTCCGGTGTGGAATTGCAAATATTGAAAGCAATTTAAAAATTCTTGATTAATTAAGAAAATCAAATTAGGCACACTAATAAATCACAATTAGCATAATTAAACCTGTGTTATTCTCCAGATCGTTACAGCTCCACCCCCCCTAAAATAATTTTGTCCTCAAAATTAGAGCTTATCTCAAAATGAGAACAAATGCGGATATTATTCCTGCATTGTCGCTTCTAGTTCCCATGTTGTTTCCTGAACGCTATGGTGTTACCAGAATACTTTCACTAACAGTATCTCACGATGACATAGACTTTTCATCTTCTGATCGAGAATTTGAATTGGTGCTTCCTTGTAAGTCATGTGATATTGAATCGGCACGTCGTACCATTATACATTGTCTTCCAGATCAGGTTGAGACTTGTGAAACATAGAAATTGTTGGTAGCCGAATCGAATTCGGATGTGGAAGCGTGCTTCTGATCGAGAATTTGAATTGGTGCTTCCTTGTAAGTCATGTGATATTGAATCGGCACGTCGTACCATTATACATTGTCTTCCAGATCAGGTTGAGACTTGTGAAACATAGAAATTGTTGGTAGCCGAATCGAATTCGGATGTGGAAGCGTGGCGGGGAAGCGGATCAAGTATAACAAAAATTTTCACAAAACTTTTGAGATACTCTATAGATTATATTAATTTATGCACGAATAAATTAATCACAT